GGAGGCTCCAGGGGTCTCAGACACTATGGGCAGGGCGGGGGACTAGCTTGCCCAAGGGCGGGGGGGGAGTCATGCACCACCCATGAGCACCCCTGTCTGTGCTCTACCTGGTCTGTGAGACATACAGGACTATGAGCCTCAGTGAAAGAAAGAAAGAAAGAAAGAAAGAAAGTGCCATACTGGGTGTAAAATGCAGGGCTGCCCAGAGTGGGGAGCAAGTGGGGCAATTTGCCCCAGGCCCCGCAGGGGGCCCCCACGAGAATATAGTATTCGATATTGCAACTTTTTTTTATGGAAGGGGCCCCCAAAATTGCTTTGCCCCAGGCCCCCTGAATCCTCTGGGCGGCCCTGGTAAAATGCAGGCAACTGAACAGACTGTTAGTGTGCAGCAGTGACTGTGCCGTGGAGGCCAGCCTCCCAATGTAAACTGCCTAGGGGATTTACACACCCGTCTCTCGTTGTTACGTGGAATGGGGTGTCTGGCTGCAGGTTTGCACTCTCTGCTGCTCTCTCTCCCTGGGCTGGGTAAGGGGAGCGTGTGCACAGCAAAGTGGCAGCAGAGCCTTTCCACAGCCAGCGCTGGTACCCCGGCACTCCTGGCTCCCAGCTCTGCAGCAGGGACGGGCTAGTGAAGCCATGTGTTGTGGCTGGGGCTGAGCCAGAGCCCCGTGAGATCACCAGCAAGTGTCCCATTGACTCCAATGGACTTTGGGTCAGGCCCGTTATTCCCCCACCCAGCCACAGTGTTCCTTATGTAAGGAGCAAGGTTCTGCCCCCATCCCTCATGTGGTACCCTTGTATCCAGGCCTCCCTCACTGCTGAGAAGGGGGCAAGACTTGCCCTTTTCGACACACTGTCCTCCCAACCCTCCCTTCCCTTCCCTGTGAACTCACTGAGCCCGACCGATGCTCTCTCCGCAGGTGGGTTTTATTTCCGCCATACAAAAATACTTAAACCAACAGCAGCTTTAAATTCACTTATTAAAAGGTGCATTTCCAGGTGACTCTCCCAGTGTTAAAGGCCAGCGATCGCACAGAGACAGACTCAGTTCCGCTGGGAGGGTCCTTCCTCATATCTGGCGACAGCCGGCCGCTACAGCTGCTCGCCCATCCAGCCACCTTCCCAAGCAGGCCCTGGAGCCTCCCACTGGGGAGAGGCCTATGGAAGGAGTCTGAGGCATTTCTGAAGGGAGGGGCACTTCGTAGCCATCAAGCTCAGTCCAGAGACTAGCTGCCCTCTGCGTGGGATCACAGAGCTAAAAGGTCCTTCAGGCTCATCCGAACTCCACTGCCATAGTCATGTACAAGCAGTGCCCTGACCAACAGGCCTCCCTACTGAGCCAGCTCAGCTAACAGCACAGCGGCACCTGGCTTCTCCGGCTTGATCCCAATTCAGTGTCTGTACGGTGCCATAGCTCTCTGTTCTCCGGGTGACAAGTAGGAACTCAGCACCACACCGCTGGCCTTGCTCTCTCAGACCACGACAGTCGGCAGATCATTGAGCTCTGAAAAGAGGAGACTTGTTGAACCACAGAAACTGCCCGCGGACATGGGTGGGTGGCTTGTTTACTGGTCCCAGGTCAATCAGCAGTGGGCCTTGAAAACAACTCAATGTTTTCTTTTGCGTGTCCCAGAGGATTATTTTAGTCAGTTAGTTGTACCCAGGTTTTCAAGCCCTCGCCATTTTGTTTTCATTTCAGGGCTCGAAAGACAAATGAGGCTGCAAAAAAACCCTGCTAGTTTGAGGTGTCAAAAGTTTGCTGGTTTGGCTGCGACCTTACAACGCCCAGCTTCTCCCATCCCAAGCTCCTGGCAGTCTGGGGCATTCAGCTGAGCTGTGGACGTTTCACCAAGCTGTAATGTTAGCACAGCCACATGGCATGCACTCGGCCTGCTCCTGCTCTCAGTTAACGTCAGGTTTTCACTGATGTAACGTCATCAAAATCACAGGCGTTACAGTGCAATAAAATTGGTGTAAATGGGCACTGAATTAGGTGCTTTTTGGTGTATCGAGTTAGATGCAGCTCTAACTAGTAGAGTAAAGTAGGTGCAGTGTGGATGAACTAACTAAAACTTTTCCCATTTCCTGACTCCTATGCATTGAAAGTCATGGCCTTAATGTTGCATTATCACTGTTTGCTTTATACAGAATACTTAAATCCAACATGACTGTACCGCCTGAGCTCTGTTCTCATTGAACCACCAACCCAGTTACACCGTAAGTCTGTGTCACAGGCAAAATTATGGAACAGACTAAACAGGGTGCATGCTGCATACGCAAAATATTAGAGTACTCTATAGAGCTCACGGACACTGTAAGAGGCTGTGCTTTGAGAACATAAGAACGGCCATATTGGGTCAGACCAAAGGTCCACCTAGCCCAGTATCCTGTCTTCCGACAGTGGCCAATGCCAGGTGCCCCAGAGCGAATGAACAGAACAGGTAATCATCAAGTGATCCATTCCCAGCCGCTCATTCCCCGCTTCTGGCAAACAGAGGCTAGGGACACCATCCTTGCCCATCCTGGCTACTAGCCAGTGATGGACCTATCTTCCAAGAATGTATCTAGTTCTTTTTTGAACCCTGTTATAGTCTTGGCCTTCACAACATCCTCTGGCAAAGAGTTCCACGGGTTGATTGTGCATTGTTTGAGAAAATACTTCATTTTGTTTGTTTTAAACCTGCTGCCTATTAATTTCATTTGGTGACCCCTCGTTCTCGTGTTATGAGAAGGAGTAAACAACACTTCCTTATTTACTTTCTCTACACCAGTCATGATTTTATATCCCCCCCTTAGTCGTCTCTTTTCCAAGCTGAAAAGTCCCAGTCTTATTAATCTCTCCTCATACGGCAGCTGTTCCATAACCCTAATCATTTTTGTTGCCTTTTTCTGTACCTTTTCCAATTCCAATATATCCTTTTTTTTTTTTTTAAAGATGGGGCAATCAGATCTGCACCCAGTTTTCAAGATGTGGGCATACCCTGGATTTATATAGAGACAATATGATATTTTCTGTCTTATTATCCATCCCTTTCTTAATGATTCTGGACATTCTGTTTGGTTTTTTGACTGCCACTGCACATTGTGTGGATGTTTTCAGAGAACTATCCACAATGACTCCAAGCTCTCTTTCTTGAGTGGTAACAGCTAATTTAGACCCCCTCATTTTATATGTATAGCTGGGATTATGTTTTTCAATGTGCATTACTTTGCATTTATCAACATTGAATCTCATCTGCCACTTTGTTGCCCAATCACCCAGTTTTGCGAGATCCTTTTGTAGCTCTTCGCAGTCTGCCCGGGACTTAACTATCTTGCGTAGTTTTACATTATCTGCAAATTTTGCCACCTCACTATTTACCCCTTTTTCCAGATCATTTATGAGTATGTTGAATAGGACTGGTCCCAGTACAGACCCCTGGGGGACACACTATTTACCTCTCTCCAGTCTGAAAACTGACCATCTATTCCTACCCTTTGTTTCCTATCTTTTAACCAGTTACCAATCCATGAGAGGACCTTCCCTCTTATCCCATGACAGCTTACTTTGCTTAAGAGCCTTTGGTGAGGTACCTTGTCAAAGGCTCTCTGAAAATCTAAGTACACTATATCCACTGGATCCCCCTTGTCCACATGCTTGTTCACCTCCTCATAGAATTCTAGTAGATTGGTGAGGCATGATTTCCCTTTACAAAAATCATGTTGATTCTTCCCTAACAAATTATGTTCATCTATGTGTCTGACAATTTTGTTCTTTACTATAGTTTCAACCAATTTGCCTGGTACTGAAGTCAGGCTTACCAGCCTGCCAGGATCACCTCTGGAGCCCTTTTTAAAAATTGGCATCACATTAGCTATCCTCCAGTCATTTTGTACAGAAGCTGATTTAAATGATAGGTTACAGACTACAGTTAGTAATTCTGCAATTTCATATTCGAGTTCCTTCAGACCTCCTGGGTGAATACCATCTGGTTCTGGTGACTTATTGCTGTTTGAGCCGTTGCCATAGACTGTTGTAGTGCTTTGTAACCATGGGCATTCCCAGTGTTAAGGTGTAAGTGAACAAAGAGAGTAAGGGCTTGTCTAGAGAATAGTTATACCCCCAGTTTGCAGGGCACTAAATCCACAGCGTACTAGCCTGCTGTGCACTGTCCCACTCACAACGGTCCCTAGTGTGCTTTGATCTACTCTGCTTTGAAGCGGGAGGAGGGCAATGGGAGTGTTTAGTGCATGGCAGCAGAGTACATGTGGACAGTCAGCATGCGGCAGTCTAGGACGGTGTAGATTTACACCCCAGCTGGCCACGCACTAATCTTTCATCTAGACAAGCCCCAATCCCGTTTCCATGCTGGACTCGGTACAAGAGTGCTGGAGCCACAACCCCCGCAAGTGCTGGACTCACCAGTTCGGAATTTGTTGTATGTACCATTCTCGAGCACTACGCCGCTGTCATCTGAACAACAGGAGAAGCCCTTCTCTCTCCACCTGGAAAGAGTTAAACCAGCGATGAAGCAATGGGCTCAAAGACTGGGTCAGGCAGCTGGTGCACTGAGCCCACTGCGGTGCTAACATGATACAAACACGGTCACATTTTTCAAAAGTGCTTAGGTGACTTAGAAGCCTAAGTCCAAGACTGTCCCGGACTGTTAAACGCCGGCTGTCACCTGAATGTTAGCAGGGCTGTGTGGGTCCCTCCAGCTGCAGTGAGATCTATTCATTACTGCTGTCCGCTGAACACCCAGAAGGGTGTGAGTGTTACAGGAAATGAGCAAAAGCACAGCCCCTGCCCTGCAGAGCTTACCATCGACATTCAGAGCAATGTGACAAGCTGGGCTGGACAGCAGACAAGCAAGGGGTAGGGGGCAAGGAGGAGGAAGAGCTGGAGGCCGGGATGGGGGATGGAGCCATTCACTCACCAAAGTGGTGGGGGCGCATGGTCCCCATGAAGGGACCAAGCAGTTTGGCATTGGCATGAAAAGGAAGAGCTGGGTTAAGAAACGTGAAGGGGAAAGCCAGGCTATTGGGTGAAAAGGAGGGGATACTGCTAATCAAAGGCCTGTTTGGATTGGACAGGTCAGCTAGTTCACTCCCCTCCATGGCAACCAGGCATGATTAAGCTATGTCTACACTACAAATTTACGTTGCATTATGGCGACGTACAGCCACCGCTGTAATTAAGCTGCTGTTGCATGGCCACACTATGCTCCTTGTGTCGGCGGAGCGCATCCACAGTAGCAGCTCTTGCATTGACACAGAGCAGTGCACCATGGGTAGCTATCCCACTGTGCAACTGGCCACAGGGTGCTTTGGGAAGGGTTTGCAATGCCTCATGGGGGCAAGTTCAGAATCACATGATGCAAGTTTCTCAATCCCATCATTCCTTGGGCATCCTTGTAGGTTTCCAGCTGCGTTTCAACTGCTCTGGTCACCTACGAGCCAGCCACCTCTGTCAGAAAGCCTGGATCCTGCACTGCTCTTCAGTATTGAGCTGTGCGTTATGAACACAAAGCTCTAAGAGGCGTTGTGGGGCAGGGGAGCTATTCTTCTGAGGGAGATCTTGACCTTTAACACAGAGCCAAAGTAGTGTGTGTAGCTGTAGTGTGCTGAGCCTGGCATTGTTTGTTTGCACCGTGTAGGGCGACCAGATAGCAAGTGTGAAAAATCAGGATGGGGTTGGGGGGTAATAGAAGCCTATATAAGAAAAAGACCCAAAAATCAGGACTGTCCCTATAAAATCAGGACATCTGGTCACCCTAGCACCGTGCTATGAACCTTGCAATGCACATGCACCTATTACTATTGTCGGTAATGGAGAATAATAAAGATAAATTCCGTTTCCATAAGTAGATTTTTATTCCACACCCATGCAAACATACCCCTGTGTAATGCTGAGGGAAACGTCATACATGCAGGGGAAAGTATCGTTAAAGGGGAAGGAACAGGGAATTCACAAGCACATACACCCATGAGGCTCTCACAGCTGGGCGTGTGTGTGCGGCTGTCATTGTGTTTACTCTCCCGCAAGGGTGGAGTGCCTATGGTACTGCTGCGGCCCCAGAAGATACATGGAATGGGGGACAGGGGGGCAGGGAATTTACTAAAGTAAAGGTGTCTTGAAAACTAGGTTTTGTTTTAACACAAAAACCTTCCTCAGGAGAAGTAAATCTCTTTTCTTTAATGAATAAACTACAGTGGGTGTACAAAAACTGTATCAATTTCCCACCCTCCGTCAGTAATTTAACCCTACACAGTTTACATCTCTGTGAAAAAGTGAATGCCAGTGGTATCGGTTTTCACTTGTCCAGAGAACGTTTTAATTCTGCTTCTTTTCATTCTTTCTTAAAATCACGCCGTCTTTTCTCATAGCCTGAGGCTAAGTTACCAGACCCCCACCCTGAGTGCTCTCCCCACCAGCCTCCCACCCATATAATACCAACCTGATGCCAGCCCCCTCCTTGTAAAGCTGCATGCCTGTGGATCCGCACCATAGCAACTATTTGCCTCCCTTGCCTTGCTATGCCTGCCGCAGCTCTTTGATTTTTACGTGTCGCTATCATAGTCCTTCGCCTCCATGCCCCAAGCAAATTCCTGAGGCTGGAGTGGAGTTGTACCTGCACAACCTCCTCTCCCTGGAGATCCAGGAGAGCCACCACCTCCCGTGTACTCCAGGCAGGCGCGCCTTTGCTGCGGAGAGCCGGCTTGCTCAGCTGGGCAGCTGCTATATGAGCTCTGCACTGGCGCAAACAGGAAGAGCAATTTCAAAACTTCCCGGGACGTTAACAGGGGAGGGGCGTTCACCTGTGTACCTGGGTGCAGGGCAGCGGAGTTCAAAACGGTGCCCAGAGCGGTCACGGTGGGCATTGTGGGATCCCTCCTGGAGGCCGACGTAAGCAAGGCAGTGTTTACATTGACACTGCGTCGCTCTAAATATGTCACCCTAAGTGTAATGCCTCTCATCAAAATGGTTTTGTTAGGTCGGAGTAGCAGGCGAGTTAAAGCAAGGGGGGGGGCATGGCAGTGTGTACACCTCATAGTTAGGTCGACTTAAACTGCCTGGTGTCGACTTAACTTTGTAGTGTAGACAGGCCCTTTGTATCATCGGGTTTAACCCATCCCTAAGAGGTTTGCGTAGGGTTACCATACGTCCGGATTTCCCCGGACATGTC